TTAATGATATAACACACCATTGTCATTCAGTACACACGGTCTTCTGTTAACGATATAACACACAATTGTCAAAAAGTACACACTGTCTTGTGTTAACGATATAAAACATTATTGTCATTCAGTACACACCTTCTTGTGTTAATGATACAGCACACCATTGCAATTCAGTACACACTGTCTTGTGTTAACGATACAACACACCATTGTCATTCAGTACACACTGTCTTGTGTTAACGATATAACTCATTATTGACATTCAGTACAGTGTCATGTGTTAACGATATAACACACCATAGTCATTCAGTACACACTGTCTTCTGTTAACGATATAAAACACCATTGTTATTAAGTAAACAATGTCTTGTGTTAACGATACGACACACCATTGCAATTCAGTACACACGGTCTTATGTTAATGATATAACACACCATTGTCATTCAGTACACACGGTCTTCTGTTAACGATATAACACACAATTGTCAAAAAGTACACACTGTCTTGTGTTAACGATACAACACACTATTGCCATTCAGTACACACTGTCTTGTGTTAACGATATAACTCATTATTGACATTCAGTACAGTGTCATGTGTTAACGATATAACACACCATAGTCATTCAGTACACACTGCCCTGTGTTAACGTTATAAAAATTCGTTATCATTAAGTACACACTGTCTTATGTTAACGATATAACACACCATTGCCATTCAGTACACACGGTCTTATGTTAATGATATAACACACAATAGTCATTCAGTACACACTGTCCTGTGTAAACGTTATAAGAACTCGTTATCATTAAGTACACACTTTCTTGTGTTAACAATAAAACACACCATTGTCATTTAGTACACACTGTCTTCTGTTAACGATATAAAACTCCATTGTTATTAAGTAAACAATGTCTTGTGTTAACGATACAACACACCATTGCAATTCAGTACACACTGTCTTGTGTTAACGATATACCTCATTATTGACATTCAGTACACAGTGTCGTGTATTAACGATATAAAACACCATTGTCATTAAGTAAACAATGTCTTGTGTTAACGATACAACACACCATTGCCATTCAGTACACACTGTCTTGTGTTTACGATATAACTCATTATTAACATTCAGTACAGTGTCATGTGTTAACGATATAACACACCATTGTCATTCAGTACACACTGTCTTGTGTTAACGATGTAAAACACAATAGTCATTCAGTACACACTGTCCTGTGTTAACGTTATAAGAACTCGTTATCATTAAGTACACACTTTCTTGTGTTAACAATAAAACACACCATTGTCATTCAGTACACACGGTCTTATGTTAATGATATAACACACAATAGTCATTCAGTACACACTGTCCTGTGTTAACGTTATAAGAACTCGTTATCATTAAGTACACACTTTCTTGTGTTAACAATAAAACACACCATTGTCATTTAGTACACACTGTCGTCTGTTAACGATATAACACACCATTGTCATTCAGTACACACTGTCTTCTGTTAACGATATAACACACAATTGTCAAAAAGTACACACTGTCCTGTGTTGACGTTATAAGAACTCGTTATCATTAAGTATACACTTTCTTGTGTTAACAATAAAACACACCATTGTCATTCAATACACACTGTCTTGTGTGAACGATATAGCATTGTTTTGTGTAAATGATATAACACGTCATTTTGTAATATATATATAGCTTTCTCCTTTTATTACATCGCTGTTAATCAGGTCAAACTGCTATGCTTAACATTATAAAATATCATCGGAAATTGATATCAAAGTTTTACTTTCTACACAAAATGTGTCGCAACGTTTCAAGACCGACTGGTCCGTTTGTTTAGCTATGAATGTGTGAACGATGTGTATGTTTTACCTTCTCCTACAATCACAATGTGTGCCAATAACTCAAAAATAACAACAACTCGGGAGACTTGACTAACAAACAATAAACAGCCGGTCTGGACCACAGTGCTCTGCACCAAATTGCATGTCAAACCATTACAATCACTGTTTAAAATACAGCACTTGCTGTAATAACTACACATAGAACAGTAGGTAACATGATATCGCTGTATAATGCATCGCCCGCGGAGACTATCTCACCACTCGATGTAACACGCCCGTTCGTAAAAAAAAAAAAAAAAAAAAAAAAAAA